ATATGAAATGTCTGTAAAGCCCAAGCTCGAGAAGCAAATGGGGCACGATCGATTCCATGGACCAGATTGGCAGATAAAGCACGAAGAGATAACACATAATTCATTCATGTTGCATGCATCTTAGACATAATTAGGTGCATAACATTCCTCATTTTAGCATACATGATTTTTGCAGCTTTTAGAGTCAAGGATACTTGATTCGTAAGCGCCTTTAAAGAACGATGGTGGTTGCTTAGCTCGGCAGCAAGAAGCTACACTTCGACCAACTCGACAGATTGAAAATTTTCTCTCGAACTCACAATTTGCTCGAGAGTAAATTTCAACTTCTCAATTTCAGAGCCAATTTCAACTTCACAACGAAGGATATTGAACTCCAGACAACGTAAGTTCAACTTCACGACTAAGGGACCGCTGGTTGTCAACAAACAACTTCTCAATTTCAGAGCCAATTTCAACTTCACAACGAAGGACATTGGACTCCAGACAACGTAAGTTCAACTTCACGACGAAGGGACCGCTGGTTGTCAACAAACAACTTCTCAATTTCAGAGCCAATTTCAACTTCACAACGAAGGACATTGGACTCCAGGCAACGCAAGTTCAACTTCACGACGAAGGGACCGCTGGTTGTCAACAAACAACTTCCCAATTTCAGAGCCAATTTCAACTTCACAGCGAAGGATATTGGACTCCAGACAACGTAAGTTCAACTTCACGATGAAGGGACCGCTGGTTGTCAACAAACAACTTCTCAATTTCAGAGCCAATTTCAACTTCACAACGAAGGAAATTGGACTCCAGGCAACGCAAGTTCAACTTCACGACGAAGGGACCGCTGGTTGTCAACAAACAACTTCCCAATTTCAGAGCCAATTTCAACTTCACAGCGAAGGATATTGGACTCCAGACAACGTAAGTTCAACTTCACGACGAAGGGACCGCTGGTTGTCAACAAACATTTCTCGATTTCAGAGTCAATTTCAACTTCACAACGAAGGATATTGGACTCCAGACAACACAAGTTCAACTTCACGACGAAGGGACCGCTGGTTGTCAACAAACATTTCCCAATTTCAGAGCCAATTTCAACTTCACAACGAAGGATATTGGACTCCAGACAACGCAAGTTCAACTTCACGAAGAAGGGACTGCTGGTTGTCAACAAACAACTTCCCAATTTCAGAGCCAATTTCAACTTCACAGCGAAGGATATTGGACTCCAGACAATACAAGTTCAACTTTACGACGAAGGGACCGCTGGTTGTCAATAAACAATTTCTCGATTTCAGAGTCAATTTCAACTTCACAACGAAGGATATTGGACTCCAGACAACGCAAGTTCAACTTCACGACGAGGGGACCGCTGGTTGTCAGCAAACATTTCTCGATTTCAGAGTCAATTTCAACTTCACAACGAAGGATATTGGACTCTAGACAACGCAAGTTCAACTTCACGACGAAGGGACCGCTGGTTGTCAACAAATATTTCTCGATTTCAGAGTCAATTTCAACTTCACAATGAAGGATATTGGACTCCAGACAACGCAAGTTCAACTTCACGACGAAGGGACCGCTGGTTGTCAACAAACAATTTTCCAGTTCCATAGTCAATTTCAACTTCACGGCGGAGGATATTGGACTTAGAACAATACAACTTACTTGGATTTCAACTTCACGACGAAGGATATCCAATTCCAGGCTCAGCTTAACGACGAATGGGCCACCCACGGTTTCAACTTCGTGACGAAGGGAATCGTGCACACAAGCAGTATCAATCTCTAGATTGGATTTCAACTTCACGTCGAGGGATATCCAACTCAAAGAAGGTGTGTCTGCCAACCAAAGACCTTTGAGTTCGACTACGCTCAGCTCCAAGGCACATCATTTGCAGCATAGCTTAAGTCGAGAAGGGTTATCTGCCAAAGACCCTTAAGTTCGATTACACTCAGCTTCGAGGGCATATCATTTACAACATAACTCAAGGCTAGAAGGGTTATCTGTGACCAAAAGACCTTTGAGTTTGACTACGCTCAGCTCAACGGCACATCATTTGCAGCATAGCTTAAGTCGAGAAGGGCTATCTGCCAAAGACCCTTAAGTTCGATTACACTCAGCTTCAAGGGCATATCATTTACAGCATAACTCAAGGCTAGAAGGGTTATCTGTCACCAAAGACCTTCGAGTTCGACTACGCTCAGCTCCAAGGCATATCATTTGCGGCACAGCTTAAGTCTAGAAGGGTTGTCTACTAACAAAAGACCTTTGAGTTCGACTACACTCAGCTCAACGGCACATCATTTGCAGCATAGCTTAAGTCGAGAAGGGCTATCTGCTAAAGACCTTCGAGTTCGATTATATTCAACTTAGAGTCAAATCATTTACAATATAGCTCAAGGCAAGAAGGGCTATTTGTCAATAAAATTGTCGAGTTCGACTCTATTCAGCTCGATGATACCTCAATCACACTACTGTCCGGCTGCAATCAAGGTTTTCAAGTCGAGAAGAAGACCTGGTTAACCGTGCCTTAGTGACAAGAAACTGTTTTTCGGCAGCATAGTTTAAGCCAAGAAAAGCCATATGTCGACGAGGACCTTTCGAGTTCGGTTTTATTCAGCTCAAGGGCCTGGCAATCATATGGTGGAGTCAAGGAACTACTTTCCAGTCGAATTTTAACCAAGGTCTTTAATCCGAGAAGAAGACCGAGGTTGACTACAATTTGGCAACGAGAAGCCACGTTCCGATTCAAATTTCGAACTACGGCTTCAATTCCATATCATTTCAAAGTGGACTCGACTTCGCAACGGAGGAGCCATCCGCAACTCAATTTGACAGGGAGTTATTTTTCAACTCTACTGAACGAAAATTTGTGTCTTTTTATCTTTGTCCTATTTTTCGTTCCCCGAAAAAGGACAAAGAGGGGCAGCTGTAGACACTCATTTTCATCCATATTTTTTATTTTTATTTATACATATATCTATATCTATATAATATAGTTTTTAAAACCCTATTTTTGAAATAATATAATATATAGTTTTTAAAAATAATTTTTTGAAATTATATATTATATGATTTTAAAACATTTATTTACTTGTTATTATATTAATATTTTTATTTATTTTTATTTTTTGTAGGCCCCATACACTACCCACCATTATCTCCACCACTTTCACCACAAATCACGTGGGTTTTGTTTTTCATGGGAGTTGTGGACCACTCCTCCCTCAAGCTCATTGCTCTCCACTTTCAAATGACTTTTAGCATTTTTTTTAATTTAAAAGGGAACCAAAAATCAGAGAGGGGGACCACGAATTATTGAGGGAGCATAAACGAAAAATAGAAGAGAGGGTTCTGCCCGAGACTCTCGGTCGGCGGCCGAAAGGGCAACACGCAATGATATTACTCGAGCTGATGACCAAGCTATTTGGCGTTGGGAACCCTATGGAATGTGCTCCGTTAAGTCAGCGTTTAACACGGTCCAGCAGAATACTTGGGATACTAAAGATGACCGGTGGAACCTTGTTTGAAATTTTGATGGGCCTCAAAGAGTGCGACAATTTCTTTGGCTAGTTCTCCGGGAGCAGCTCATGAGTCATGACCAATGCCGAGCGTAACAAACGGAGCCTCCGGTTAATGGCATCAGATGGCAATTTCATTCCCACATTTAATTGGCGTTGGTCTCACGCTCTCTGGTGGTTCAAATGCTGATAACTAGAATCTCGGGTTCACTTCGAAAGCTTTGTGTTATCGGTCTAGCTAATGACCAGAGCTTTACATTCATTGCGGATAATGTCAAGTCTCTTTAGACTTTACGACTGCCGAGAAGTGAAATAAGCAATTCAATAGTGGAGCAGGTCGCTGGGCGGCTTTCTTTTGTAACTTTATTGGAGCATAGCTTTCAGAATATCGCTACTTGTTTTACACCAGATGGCCAGTGTGCAGTAGTTGGCTCGTACAGAGGAAGCTGTCGTTTATACAATGCCTCTGAGAACAAGTCGCTACAGCAAAGTCAAATCAAATTGCAGAACAAAAAGAAGAAATCTCATCAAAGGAAAATTATAGGTTTCCAGTTTGCACCTGGAAGTTCATCAGAAGTACTCGTCACATCTGCAGATTCACAAATTTGGGTTGTTGATTGATATTTGGAACCTAAGAGGTATTTTGTACACTTCATGGCACTGAGTTCAAGTTTGCATGGGTCACTCGAATATGTAAATCAAACGAACGAATAGGTAAATAACTGGGCACATTCTTTAATAATGTTGTTTCAGCAGATTCTTATGTGATTTTGAAATGTTCAATATTGCATGATTTCACATTGTGGGTCCCTGAGATATGACATTATGGCAATCACGTGTATCTCTTTTAACTTTTAGAGAGATGACATTATTCCTTTTGAATGAGGATTTTGTTTGTATCCTTATATATATATCTTATTTATTTTATTAATTTTTTCTATTATTTTTTTTCATATATATTTTTAATCTAACGATATTATTGGCTTTTGAGGGGAATTTTTAATCAATCGAAGGTAAGTAATTCGAATTGAATTTTTAAATTTAAATTTTCGCAATTAAAGACAACCGATAAATTAATTGGTACCGAAAGGGCGGTTTAAGGGTACTAATCCTTCCTTGACCGTAACCGACTCCCGAACTCGACACGTTTCTGATACAACGCAGATCAGGTAAGATGGTGTCCGACCCACCTAAATTCGTTTTAAAGTGGTCGATGGCGACTCCAATCCACATTTTTCAAGTCGAAGTCCAATTCCAGGGCCCAACTGAAAGACGGTTGCGACACTAAGTAACTAAAGTTGGGTTAGCGACTTAGCGTTATTTAGTTTTGGACTTTGGAATTATGATTTGCAATGGAATCGGGCGATAAGCTAAGTGGCTGGCTAGCTTCCATGGCTCAGTTACTTGTTCCCTCAAGTTAGGATATTGTTGATTTCTTGTTCCACTATGAACATGCTCGTTAATCTTTTTTTCTTGAAACTACAGTGCAGAATTTAATGAATCATTTGGGAATTCCGACAATCTTATCGAAACAGGCTCCCGAAAACGGTATATAGCTACTCGATGGTTATCATTTTATTGTATTTGGTTACTTTGTTCGCCTGATATTGCAGATACTACTTTAGCTTCTTTGGCTGTCACCATCTTATTATATCTTTAAGTTTGGGTCGGTTTCAGTGTAGTCTTGCTTTAATTTGTTGATCAATCTCATACAGGGTTTCGCTTAGTAATCTATTCAACATTCTTATGACAGGGTGAGGTCTGGAACATGCCGTGCAACTGGCTCCAAAGCTTGCAGGGAAAAGAGGAGAAGGGATAGGTTAAATGACAGGCATGTTTTGATATACCGAATTACCGATTTCCCTCCCTTAAATCGATTTTGCCTTCTCTGATGTTTGCATTTTCAATATCTGAAGGTTCCTGGAATTGGGTTCTATCCTAGATCCTGGAAGGCCTCCCAAAGTAGACAAGGCTCTTATATTGGTTGATGCTGTTCGAATGGTTACTCACTTACGGGATGAAGCCCTGAAATTGAAGGAGTCGAATGAGAGTCTGCAGGAGAAGATTTATGAGTTAAAAGTGAGCTCGGATTCACTGTTTATTTGTTACATATTTTATTCATTAGTACGCATGGACTGAAATTTTTTATTTGATCCATTACTGTCACATAAGTTTCGATGCTGTGGATGCTGAGACGAGATTTACTTTTTAGGTTGAAAAGAATGAACTTCGGGATGAGAAACAGAAGCTGAAGGCCGAGAAAGAGAATCTTGAGAGGCAAGTCAAGGCCATGGGTTCTCATCCAGGATTCCTATCCCATCCTGCTGCTATTCCAACTCCATTTACTACCCCAGGCCAAGTTGTCAGTGGGAAGCCGGTGCGCTATGTTGGTTATCCCAGAGTTTCCATGTGGCAGTTCTTGCCTCCTCCAGCTTTCGATACATCGCAGGATCATGCTCTCCGACCTCCGGTCGCGTAAGTTGGCAGCCTGGTATTGACTCAAAGAAGCAATTATCATTTATATGTTATTGACAGATATTGGAATCTAGGTGTGCTGCTAACAGTTGGTAAAACCATTGATTCAGAGCATCCTGGAGTTAAGATGTTTGTGTTATTTTTACCAGAAATTTGAAGTAAAAGCAGACTATTTATTGAAATTTCTATTGCCTTGAACATATGGATAGAAATGGAGTAAACAAGTTGACCATTAAAGGAAGTGAAATGTTCAAATGTACTGGATTATCAACTCTGGTATCTCTCACGTGTTTCCCGTACCACCTTATGATCTTTAAGCCAAAAGGTCAACAAAAATGGCACCAAAGCTGATGGCATTTTTATACCTAAACAAGAGGGGCCCACTCGAGTGAAAATAGCCAAATCCCACCATGAATGGTCCATAACTGCTTATTTCACACCATTAACCAAGGACAATAAAAAATTGTTAAAGATCACTATCAGGGACAAAGTGGAAAAGCAACAATGTCACTTTCAGTTCAGTCCAATCAGAGTAGAGAACGCATAGTTCCAAAGGATTAAAATCAATTTCTTTTATGTCCAACTTGATCTTTATGCTTCAAAGGCACCTACATCAACTCCATGTATTCATTGCCTTTTTTGAGTTAAAATGCTTTGGATTCTCACAATATAACAAATTACCCATCTTAGTTCAATCAACTTGGAATCATTTGTTCTTATCCATACTTTTGATTCTTTAATGATTCTTAGAAATGTGACTTGTAAGGTAAAAGATATAACAAAGTATTATCTATTTATAATTTATTTTAACTGTTGACATCGAACACACATCATATAGATATGGTTGCTCGAACTCGAGACTTCTAAGGAGTACAACATTCTCTTTTATCTTAAGGTAAAAGATATATACTCAAGTATATGTTACTAGTTGCAGTTGACTTGGCTGAGAACATGATTGTTGCTTGCTTGGCATGAAAGCTCAAGAGTTGACCTAACAAATAAGGTTTTTTCCATCATTGTTTCATACTGGTTCAAGATCATTTGAAAAGAAATGGCTCATTTGATCCATCTCTTTGCCATTTCCATCGGGCAACATAGATGTAAATGATTTGTTGAATTCAGAAAATGGTGGATTTCGATGTGCAAACTTTGGTTGTATGTTTTGTTTTCATGCTGTCACTTGCCATATGCCATGCCGATAGGAATCTGAAATCTGCTTTGCAGTGTTCAGATGCTGATAATTCTACATTGGAAAGTTCATTCAGGGTCAATCTCGACAACCTTCTCGGCTTACTTACCGAAAAAGGGCCTTCGAGTAACGGATTCTTGAAAACAACCGTAGGAAGGAAATCAGGGAAGATTTATGGTCTTATGCAATGCAGAGGGGATATCTCTGCAGAAAACTGTGCTAATTGTACGAGAGAATCCACTGCAGTAGCCTTGCGTGATTGCTCGAAGAGCAAAACGGTTCTGGTTTGGCTCACTTGGTGCTTCCTCCGCTATTCGGACGAGCATTTCTTCGGTGTCTGGGATCAATCTTCCACAGCAATAGTCAATGAAACCAATTTCGATAACACATCCGTCATCTCGAGAGGGCTCGCCTTCATGAGTGAGGTCGCGGTAACGACGTCGAAGCAGCCTCTGATGTTTTACACTGCGGTGTTGGATGCAGGCCGATTTGGGAAGCGGTACGGCATGGCTCAGTGCACCAGAGACATTAGCAGAGCCGACTGCAGCAGGTGCTTGGACACTCAGCTAATGACATTCAGAACCACAATTGGGAACAAGAGAGGATGGGAGGTTTACGGGTTCCAGTTGCATGTGGTGTGGTACCATTGACCACCAGTTCTATTCGAACTTTTCCATCACTGCAAACAATGGTGAGTCCCGATCGCATTCAAACATCACTCGTTGCAGATCTCCACTGCATAATATAAATGAAATCGAACCGTTTATGTGATGTTGAAACAGGTGAGAGGAGATTGCCCTCGCCTGGAGGTGCAATTGGCATAACAATGGCAGTCCTGTTGTTTTTATTTGTGCCATAATCATTCATTGAGGCCAAAACTCAAAACCAAGACCTGCAGTTTCCTTGTTCTATGCCCTTGAAGATCAGATAGTTGCAACTCCCGAGTGGTGAGTCAGCTACAAAGTTGTTGATCACTGATAGTTTTCTCAGTCACTTTTAGTTTAATTTTGCTTGGAAAAGTTACCAAATCTATACTTCGTATGTCATCTTTGTCACCACCTGTATATTTTCATGTCGTTATCAGCATACACATTCTCCAACTTTTAATAAAATATCAAATAAATTCTTGGTTTAAATGACTCATTCAATTGATCTAGTTATAGGTTGGTTTTACATATTTGGGCTTAGAATAACTCAAAGCCCGTATTCCATTACATGAATAAAAGGATTTGACAGAATATAATTTTGGTAAGCATTTTAACGAGCATAAGGCTCTGCAAATGAATCCTCATGTTTGGCCAAGGGGAAAACCTCGTCATTGGAACGATTGGTGGAAATTTTGACTCTTGAGCTATAGCCCGAGGACGAATACGAGACGTCTGATTGAACGGAGCTATGCATGAAGAATGCAGGCTCCGATGGCATCGGAAGCGTCAACGAGTTGCTATTCAGCATGATGACGACCGACGCCATCGTCGGCCGGTCCGCCACGTTTTCTTGAACACAGAGTAATCCGATGTGTATGCATCTCGTCATTTCGGATCCCGAAGAAACCCTCAAAGCAGAATCTATGAGATTCACCGTTGTCCCTTCCCTCCAGTTTTTCCAAGACTGCAGCAAATTTTCAAATTTTATAAAGTTGATCACCAAGTTTAAAAATTATTTCAATATATATAGTATCATGTATGTATACTTACATAGCTCAGAAGATCTTCCATGTTATCTTTGTCGTTGAAACAATTGTTTCTACGACCGGTGATGATTTCCAAAATCAATACTCCGAAGCTAAAGACGTCGGACTTTACGGAAAATTGTCCGTGCATTGCATATTCCGGAGCCATGTAACCACTGCAGATAAATAATAAGAACAATTGGTTAGAATCATATATATATGGTTTATCATGTGTACTTTAGCAACTTACTAGGTTCCCACAATTCTACTTGTATTTCCCTGTGTTTCATCCATAGTAAACAATCTTGCCATGCCGAAATCTGCAATTTTTGGATTCATATCTGCGTCTAGCAGAACATTACTAGCTTTGAGGTCGCGGTGAATGATTCGAAGTCGAGAATCTTCATGCAGATAAAGGAGTCCCCGAGCGATTCCTCCGATGATTTTGTATCGTGTTTCCCAATTCAATTGTTCCCTCATTTTGGGATCTGTATGTATAACAGTAAGATATATCAGACCTGCTTAAACTTATCTGGTAAGTGAATTCAAGTTTAGAGGCAGCCCTACTGAATATGAATCGATCGAGGCTTGCATTTTGTACAAATTCATAGACAAGAAGTCTTTCGGTTCTTTGGAGGCTGAATCCGAGCAGCCGGACTAAGTTCCGGTGCTGAAGTTTGGCTACCAGGAGGACTTCATTCTTGAATTCTAGGTCTCCTTGTCCGGATTCCCTGGATAACCTTTTCACGGCTATGTCTTGTCCAGTAGAAAGCTTGCCCTGAAAATATGGAATCGAATTTTTTAATCTATCAACAACGCATTCTTTATTTCGTTGGTATGACATTTGGTTTACCTTGTAAACAGACCCGAAGCCACCTTGACCAAGCTTATTCTCATCAGAAAAGTTATCTGTTGCAATCCTAATGGTGGCGAAATCAAATTGCAAAGACTCTGGGTTGATAATTTCTTCGTCCACAGCTGCCATAGGAGCAAGTAATTGTTAATATATGTTGAACTCGTCAAAATATAGCTAAATGTTATCCCATACGTGCATGAAGTTAGAAATTTCAACTCTTAATCTTACTTTCAACAATGTCCTCCTTCCTCTTCCTAGCTCTTAGAAAGAAGTAGACGAAGATTATAATTATCGCAACGACGGTAACCGGAACTACGACGGTGATTATAATTCGTGACGTGTTATTATCTGCAAGAAAAGCAGGATTAATTTCCAGCAAGGAAAGTGTTGCATATTTGAAATCAAGCTTAGATGTCTTACTGTTGGAACTTGAAGTGGTTCCATTGGTTGGTTCGTTGTAGAAACGTTGCGTCTCGAACCTCACAAAACAGCTCGGAAAAATCACCTGGCCTCCCCGTCTTCCACCGCAGCAATCCGGGATTATCGGCAGAGCTGTCTCCAAGCAGGTGGTGCATTCTTCCTGAGACAAATCAGGGGTGCACTGCTCAAGTGCATATATTGGCTGCAAAGCAGTATCTATTACATTCCATGTTGCAAACTTGCGACGAGAGCCACCCGATGAGGCTCTATTCATAAGATCAACCAGCAGATTGTTCAAGGCTTGATTAAAACTGTCCGGATCCGTAACATTCAAAGGATTAGGTCCTCTGATGATGACACTACTGTCCAGAACACCAACGATGGAACGATTCGAATAACGCAACATACAAAAATCATACCAAATGATTGCTTCCTTCCTGTTGGGACAAGCACTTGTGATCTCACTCGTGGCATTATTGATACAACTAAGGCAAACATCAGGCCGGACATCGCCTCGACAGAGCGCGATCGAGTTAACTGTATCGAGATCTCGGCCAACGGACAGATTATAGAAACCGTAATCATTCTCAGTGATCGAGGAGAAAGAAGAGAGGAGGGTGTTGAGGTTTGCCTCGTAGGTACTACCGTTGGTGAAGTTTCCTCTATCTGAACAACTCGAAGCCACCGGATTTGGGTTCTGGGCAGTACCGAAGGTGAAAACAAAGCTGAGAGCTAACAGGAAAAACAGTGCCGATGAACCAGTCTTCATGGTTTCAATCTAATAGCTATGGAAATCGTGTGAAGAAGGATTCTGTGTCATCAGAGTATTTATAAATGACTACGCAGACGTGTTGGTCCAAAATTTATATTTTATCTAAGTTGAATACGTCAAATAATCAACGTTTTTGGCTTGTAATAAATTAAATTTTAGTGAGCAGGTTTATGTGATGGGTGTCATTAAAATGATGCCATCTGTTAATTATAGTTATTTTATTTATAATTTTAAAATTATTTATTAATGATGTATTTGCATATAATAACAGTATTGTATAGGATACCAAATGCAATATTTTGAACCTATTTAAAAAAAAGTTAATTCCGTCATACATGTCTAAATTGTAACCTTTATTTTAAATTAATCTTTAAATTTTTAAATATTTCAATGACATCCTCTAATTACGACCCATTCTAAATTAGTACTCAAACTATTGAACACTCCAATTTCATCCCAAATTATAACCCATGTTTTAAATTAATTTTTAAATTTTTGAACCTTCTAATTAATTTCATCCAAAAAATTTAAGTAAACAAAAATCTTTTTTTAAACATATAATAATATAGTTTGACCTAACGATTTTATTAACAGGAGAAGTGATTAGCATATACCAATAGTCTGGGATGAAATTGAAATGTTCAAAACTTTGGGGACTAATTTAAGATAAGGGTTACAAATTAAGGATGGAATTGCAATGCTCAAACTAAGAATGGGATTAATAATTTAGGGATAAAAGTAAAATTTTCAAAAGCTTAAGGATCAATATAGAAAGAGTGCGAGAATTTGAGGGCAAACGATGAAATTGACTCTAAAAATTAACATTATGGTGTTCTTGAATCAATCGCTTCCAGATTTGAAGAAATCAAATTGAGACCAACTCTCCATATGATTTTCTTTTTTACCGTTTCTAAAGCAGTATGCGTACAGGAATTTCTAAACCCCAAAAAAAACATTATTCTAAATTTCTTACAATTAATTCTGGAAACACTATCGAGGATATAGATCAGTAATGGAAGCTTCATTCTTGGACAATGGTAGTTCTTCACTTTTAGATTGGTACGATTCGGACACTATCGAAGACGACATGTCCGAACCGATGCCGGAGTGCATGAAAAAAGCGGGTTGGGAAGGCATTGGAAGGGTGACTGAAACACTATTAAGCATCAGAATGATCGTAGCCATGGTTGGTCTGTCTGCTACGTTTTCTTGAACACAAAGTAATCCGATGTGGATGCATCTCATCATTTCATTCCTCGAACCGTCTTGCAGTGTCGGATCGATCAGATTCATTGCTGTCCCTTGCCTCCAATGTTTCCATGCCTGCAACAAATATGGATTTCGATGAGCTCCAGTTTCGATTTTTCGACACCTTCTGTAGCTTTAGATGATCTTACTTACAGAGCTTATTAGGTCCTCCACAGTTTCACCATGTCGGAAGGAATTGTTTTTCTGACCACTTACGATTTCCAAAACTATCACACCAAAACTGAAGACGTCCGATTTTACGGAGAACTGGCCGTGCATGGCATATTCCGGTGCCATGTATCCACTACATTTTAACAGTCCGAATGTCATACTCGAATCCGATGAACATTTCTATTGTATAGAGATGCAATATACGCATACAAGAAACGATGTTCCAAGTTTTTGATTCTTACTAGGTTCCCACAACTCTGCTGGTGTTGCCTTGCGTTTCGTCCCGTACAAACAACCTTGCCATTCCGAAATCTGCAATTTTCGGAATCATCTCCGCATCTAACAGAACGTTGCTCGCTTTAAGGTCCCGGTGAATTATCCTCAGTCGAGAATCTTCGTGAAGGTAAAGGAGGCCACGAGCGACACCTCCAATGATTTTGTAGCGACGATCCCAATCCAGCTGCGCTCGCTTGACTTTATCTATATATGTTAGATGGTAACACACTAGTCTCAGAACAATCTACACATATGTATATATATTCGAGATAGTAGGACGGAATCGGTACCGAATAAGAAATGATCAAGGCTGGTGTTGGGCACAAACTCATAGACGAGAAGCCTTTCACATCCTTCCAAGCAGAATCCAAGGAGCCTAACTAAATTGCGGTGTTGAAGCTGGCCACTAACGGACTTCATTCTTGAATTCCAAGTCTCCTTGTCCAGAATCGTTTGATAGTCTTTGACGGCAACCTCTTGTCCATCGGAAGTAGACCCTGGAAGTATTTCAAATTTTAGTTCAAGACTGCCAAAACGGATCATCATTCTTTCCGATGAGATGTTTACCTTATAAACAGCTCCGAATCCACCTTGGCCGAGCTTATTTGCATCGGAAAAGTTATTGGTTGCGGTCCGGACGGTGGCGAAGTCGAGTTGCAGGGAGTCAGTCCTATGACCGAATCATCATCAGCTGCAAGAAGCAAAAGCTTACACATTCAGATGAAGTAAATGGCAACTTCAAGCACAAACACAATTACTTACTTGCAAGTAAACTTCTTCGGGTCTTTCTGGTCCTCCGAAAAATGCAGATGGAAGCGACTAGCAGTACTATGATTCCGACAACTGAAGCAACAACAATGGTGATAATAAGGGTTGTGTTGTTTCCGTTTCCTGCAACATTAATTAGTCTCCAATCAGGATAAGAATTCTAACTTAAACATATTAATCCTATATGTAAATCTGACTTGGATTCAACCTTTTTAGTACTTTTATTTTTTTTCAAAGTTTAAAGTTTGATTTTGAATGAGTACTAAAATGAAATAAAAAGTAGAGTTTAAGTATGATTTTGAAAGCATTTAAAGTTTATGTACTAAAACAGACCAAAACTAATAGTTTAGTTAGTAAAAGCATAAATTACCCTAATTTTAACCGTCTTTCAATTTAAATGGAGCAGACACTTTACCTCCGGTAGAGGGGGGAGGGGGAGGGGGAGGAGTCGCAGACGGCCGAGGTGACGGTAGCGGAATTGGAGTCTGATAAAACGGGTCAGACTCATACCTCAAGAGACAGCTTGGTCTGAGAATTCGGCATCCCCTTTTCCCAAACAACAACTTCCAATCCCATTCTTAGCCACACTTAAACAATCGACACATTCTTGCTCGGACAAATCCGGACTGCACTGTACCAGAGCGTATACTATTTGAAAGAAGCCCACCGACGAGCTATCCGCCGCATACTTCCGGAGAGGACCCGCCGAGGCGGCTCGGCTGCTCAGGTTATTCAACAGGTTATCCAACGCCGCATTGAACTGATCGGCATTCGTCACGTTCTGCGTGTTAAATAGACAAGAGCCGGGAGATGTTTCCATTTCTCCAAATAAGTTTCGGTTGGCGTAGCGCAGCGTACAAAATTCAGACCATCCGACCGCCTCCTTGTACGACGGACACTGTTGCCCGAGCTCCGATATGGTTTCGTTGAGACAAGTGTTGCAATCGTCTTGGTTTCTGTCTCCCCTGCAGAGTGCAACGGCGTTAACACGGTCGGAGTTCTGACCAGCCGACAGATTATAGAAGCCATAATTGAAATCTGTCTGAGAAGTGAGCCGAGAGAAGACGGTGTTGAGGTTGGACCTGTAGGTGCTGTTTGCTGTGTAGTTTCCGGCCGTGTTCACACAACGGGATTGGAAGAAGGGATCGGCTCCAAGGCTGAGATTAGCAACGAATAACGGGAGAATAGAATAAAAAAGGAATAGCAGTCTTGAAGATCCCATATGAACACAACCAAATTGATTGATCTAAAATGTGTTCCACCCAATTACATGAGGAAAATGGGCACCAAACTTGACTTTTTTCCCCAATAAAAAGCTAAACTTTAGGTAATGATCTTCAAAAACTGGGTATCCATCTTCTTCTTCAAGTTTTATTAGCCATCAAATCAGACTTTTTCCCCCAATAGAAAGCTAAACTTTAGAATGGAAATGATTTTTTTTGTTTATAATATAAAGTGGGAAGTGGAATTATTATTATTTTATCAGGGATGGCTAAAGGGCTGTTGAAGATGATAGTGGTTGTTGACCATTAACAAAGAAATTAAATTTCTTAAAGGCCTTCGCAGTTCACACTCTATGATTAGTATTATAATTAGGGTAAGTAAAACTCGTCTCGACTTAAAAAATTAATTAATTAGATTTAAAAATTAATTGATTCAAATAAATTCTGACTCAACTCGAAAAAAATTCAAATTCAAATCGAGTTGTAAAATGAAACTCGAATAACTTAAATTTTAAGTAATTAGTAGATTTATTTCAAGTTGGAGTCGAGTTCTTAGACTTTATATAATATATATATCGTAAGTAAAAAAATATAAATAATACATTGGTATTATATATATAATTAATCAAGTAACTTAAATTGAAATTAAAAAATATTATAATATTATAAATATTTACAATTAAATTTAAACATAAACTCAAAAAATCAACTTGAATTTTATAAACCCAACTTGAAAAAAATTTAAATTAAGTCCGAGTTATAAAATAAGATTCATCAACTCGAATAACTTAAAATTTTTAACTAAATTCGAATTTACTTATCAAAAGCTGACAGCTAACTCTGACTATTATCAATGGAACATTCAAAACTTAATCATATAAGAAACAGTAATAGATTGGGATGGGAGTGATGGGCATGAATATAATAAAACAACAATAATTATTTATAATTCCCTTTAGCTAAAAAAATACTAAAACTATGCTATTTTTTTCTTCATTCACTGAAATTATATTTTCACAAAAGGGTAATTTTTGTCTTTATAGTAGTCTCAATTTATCACTTTTTCTTTTATCGTATTTTTACATCAATTTAACCCTCGAAGTTACTCAGTTGCATCATTTTATACTCTACTCTAACTTAAAATCTTAAATTATAAAGCTTGAACCCTGAATCACAACCTCATAACCTCTAAACTATAGATCTTAAACCATAAATCATAATCTAACGTTTTAAGTCAGGGAGGATATAGAATGGTGTAATGAGCAATTTTACGGGTAATTGATACGAAAACATAATAGTGCTAAGTAATAAATTAGGTTTACTATA